AATAGAAGTGTCTACTTGGGATTCATTAAGGTTAAACCTTCTATATCATCTCCTCTCTTGAGAACAAAAACAATCCGAATTGCGGTTTCAGTGGGATTTTTAAAGGCGGATTCACTTGAAGTTTCTTTCAAATTATCTTGACAAAAGTGACCCTACTGATATCTTGCAAAACCGTGTTGAAGGAAGGAAAGAAGGAAGGAATGGAGGAAGCTACGTAGGGAGGGTGGGAAGGAGGGAGGGAGGAAGGAAGGAAGGAAGAAGTCCCCTTTATTTTTGCATTCCTTAAAACCTCACGGAGGTTCCTCAGTTCTTTTTTTGTTTGTTTGTTTTGGTCACCCTATTGAAAGGCAAGTGCTTAAGCAGAGACAAACCAGTATGTTCCTAGAACACTTAATTTTTAATTTTTTTCTTTCAAAATCCCTGGAGTCCAATTCTGCAATTCTGTTTCAAGCTAAATTGTAGTCTAATGTAAACTATGTTCTAACACATAAAGCTAAAATGTCAGAACCTATTGTTCAGAAGTAGAATTCTCCATCAGTGCTAAGCACAGGCTCCTGACTACTCAAAGTTCTACTGGAGTATTATCCCTCCTTCACTACCTGTCTGCATCCCGATCTTGGTTAGGTCATAAGTATCTCCTGTGTCTAGTACAATGTATGTACTTCTCACCCCAGTACTTTAGATTGTGAATTCTTTGGAACTCCCTCACTGTTCCAGCACTACATTCAGAAAAGAGCTGCTGAATTAATCTGTGATGAAATCCACCTGTTGTGCAGGACGTGTGCGGACGTGTGGAAGAAAATTTCCGCCTTGGAGAAAGCTCTGGTCCAGATACTAGATGTGCTAGTAAAATAAGCAAATGAACAAAAGGCAATCTGTGTCAACACACAGAATCCAAGGCAAGGGCTAGAAGTTTTGAAAACACATTTAGTAACAGGGAAGACTGAATCCTGCACAGGAATCTGGACAGCTGGCATGCTGGAATTGGCCCTCAAAAATTCACGACTTTTAAATTAACAATGGTATCTTCTGTTTTCAGAAAACCAGTTGTGTAAGGTGTTCAGCCGTCTTTGGCAGCCGTTCTACTTTACTCAATTAAGTCTTTCTGAAATCATCAGACCAGTGACAAACATAACCCTCTACATAATGGTGATTAAAAATAGGATTCCTAGCTTTGCGCAGTGGCAGCATCGTAGCCAATGAGGTTTATCTGAGGAGCGGTATTGCTAATTGAAAAATATGATTCGCTTTGCAGGTTGAATATTAAGGTAAAGTAAAAATGACTGGGAACATTTATTAGCAAATATATTCCCCAAAAGAAAATCCTGTTTCTTTGAAGTGACTCCTCCCCAGTCCAGGCCAAAACAAAGAAGTGTATTAAAATTAATGATTCCAGGGGCGCCTGGGTGGCTCCGTCGCTAAGCGTCTGACTTCAGCTCAGGTCATGATCCCAGAGTCCTGGAATGGAGCCCTGCTCAGCGGGAAGCCTGCTTCTCCCTCTCCCACTGCCCTTGCTTGTGTTCTCTCTCTCTCACTGTCTCTGTCAAATAAATAAATAAAATATTTTAAAAATTAAAAAAAAATAAATAAAACTAATGATTCCAAATTATCTAGTATGCCATTTCCTAGTCCTTAATGACAACAACCAAAAATGCAGTTCTCAGTAATACGTTTTCTTTCAAGGCCAAATCTTGCAAATTCAAAGTAGAGTAGATAAGGTAGCCTACTGTTTAAGGTATTTCAAGTTTGAGGGGCGCCTGGGTGGCTCAGTGGGTTAAACCTCTGCCTTCAGCTCAGGTTGTGATCTCACGGTGATGGGATTGAGCCCCACATCGGGCTCTTTGCTCTGCAGGGAGCCTGCTTCCCTCTCTCTCTGCCTGTCTCTCTGCCTACTTGTGATTTCTGTCTGTCAAATAAATAAATAAAATTTTTTAAAAAAAGCTATTTCAAGTTTGAGGGAAATATGTTAGCATTTATTTTTATTTTTTAAGCACCTCAAAACATAAAATATTTTGTTCACCTCTTATGTTTTACTCCCATGGCTTTGAGTATCACCTGTTAAACTAGAAATATAACTCAGAAAAAAAAATTAGTATCGTTTTTGCAACATGCTCCAAAGAGCAGAACTGAAACAACCAAGGTAATTCAATGTATCTTCAAAATTAAACACTTTTCCTTAGTAATATATTTAAATCGCATGGTCAGTTTTAGCTCTTGGTGTTCTGATCTTGTTCAGAAAACTGTGAAGTCATCGATATGTATTTTAATAACTTTGTAAAGCTAATACATAAAATACCTTCTGACCTCTTAGCCCACAAGGCGAACTGTCTCATACAACGTGAGCGCCTCAGTCACTGCTGCATCCCCAGTCGGTGAGCGGTAGCGAGCACCTGGTAGGCACTCCTGAGCTATTTCCTGTTGAATTAAGACAACCTTTTGTTTCTGTGTCTGTGGAGTCCATGAAAACATGAAAGGAATCATTATTCAGATAGCATCATGATTTTTTTTTTTAAATTTTATTTATTTTTTTGAGAGAGAGACAGTGAGGGACAACAGGAGCGAGGAGAAGGTCAGAGGGAGACGCAGACTCCCAGGGAGCTGGGAGCCTGATGCGGGACTCGATCCCAGGACTCCAGGATCATGACCTGAGCTGAAGGCAGTGGCTTATCCAACTGAGCCAACCAGGCGCCCTAGCATCATGATTTTTTAAAAAGATAACCTAGTTCAAACCGGCTTGATTATGGTTGTTAGGGGTAAGTTCCTTCTAACCTTTATTCTGAAATTCAAACACTACTCCTTCTACAGTCGGTACACGCAAGGGTCCAACGGACCTATGTCTTTCTTGCTCGGGAACTTTACAATTATTTATATGCCCTCGGAGAAAGGGAGATCTTCTTCTTTTCAACTTAGTCTCTGTATTCCGTAGGGTCTCGGTTGCCACAGGGCGCAGTGCGCAAGCATCTCCCGCAGACCCGCGGCCAGTAAGTCGTTGCAGCAGACGAAATGAACTCCACTCAGCCGGGCGCAGACTGCGAGAAGCGCGAGTCGCTAAGTACCACGACCGTCCTCCCGACCTCACAGCGGACGTCCTGCCGCGGGAAGGGCGCGGGGGTCTCATGGGGAAGGCCGGACCGAGCCGCAGGGCGACCGTCGGTCGAACCACCGGTCGCCCTTCGCGTCCGCCGGACCGGGACCCCCCCCCGCTGGAAGACAGAACAGCTCAGCGCCGGGGCCGCCGCCCTCCCGCGTCCGGCCGCCCCGCGCGCCCCCGAGCACCGCCCACCCCGCGGCCGTCGGGTCGGTGGAAGCGCTGCCGGCTCACTCGCAGCCCCTTTACTTCTCTTTAGGGATTGACCTTTTATTTAAAGATTGTACGTAATCTCTGCACTCACGGTGGGGCGGGGCCTCACAACCCGACTCCAGCGGGGGCTCCGCCGGGCCAGCCAGCCAGGGAGCCCCGAACCGACAACTTTAAACACCGGCCACGGCCTGGGGCTCGCAGTCCGCGGACCCGCACCCCGCACGCCCCGGAAACCCGCTCCGCCGGGGCGAAGCAGGCAGGCGCCGCGGAGCCGGCTCCCCCGGCAGAGGCCGCGACAGGACACCCCGACCGACCTCCCGGGGCAAGGGCCTGCGCGAGCAGGACCTCACAGCCGCGCGCCCCGGCCGGCCTGGAGCAGCCCGGGGCGCGCCGGTCCGAACCGAGCAGGCCCGAGCCCGCCGGACAAAGGCGGAGCGGACCACGCCCACGGGGCGGGGCCTCGGCCGGAAGCGGCGGGCCGGTGCGCGGGCCCGTCGCCTAGGCAACGGGAACGTCTGCGCCGGGCTTTTCAGAAAGCCCGAATACGGGAGCTTAGCGCGGGGAGAAAGGCCGTGGGGGAGGGGAAAGGCCGACACGGTATGGGGAGGGGGTCCCGGACCCCAGGGACCGGACGTCTGCCCCACCCTGCTTTGGGGGGGTCTTTAGAATGAGAGTGGATCCTAGGGCAGAGTCGGGAGGGGGTCGGGATGCCCCGCCCTCTGCGGGAGCCCAGTCCGGAAAGCAGCTCCACTCTCGGGCCCCTTTGTCTGCGAGCCGCTCTGAACCCGGCTCCGGCCGGCAACACAAAGGGAAGGCGGTGAGGACCGCGCAGGCGCGCGAGCCGCTGAGGTTGCTGGGAGCGGTGGTCCGGCCGCCTAATGGTAGGTCTCCTCCCTCCCCGGCGGGTGGCCGCCCTGGCCATGCAAGTGCGCATGCGCCACCACTTCCGCGCCGCACGGCCCGTCCCCTCTCCCCCCCACCCGCCCCCCTTAGGACGCGGGTTTCTCGTAGTCGGAGCCTGGGAGGAGTTATCCGTACTCGCCCCGCCTCCTCTTCATCTTGATTGGCCGGCTGAGGTGAGGGCGGCAAGCGGATTGGGTCTCGGTGTTGCCAGTCTCTTTCGGGCCTTACTTATGCCCCGCTCTGCGGCGGGACTCTGGAGAGTGAGGGACTGGGAGTTCTTAGGGAGGTAGCGCCTCGGGTGAGCGATGGCCTCGGCGGCGGCCGTCCCATGCCTGAGTTGGTTCCCACCGGGTCTTCGGCAGGGCCGGCTGCTCCCCACGTTCCCGGATGGTCCTGCATTCCCGCCCGACAGGCTCTGCTTCCTAGTGCGAAACTCTTAGTAAAGTTCGCGCTTCGCCTGCCGCCCCTGTCCCCGCGACCCCTCCCCAGCCAAAGTGACAGACAAAGCCACACCCCCGCGCTGCCCGGCCGGTGAGGGGCGTGATGAGGCGGGGGCGGGGCCCGCGGGGAGGGGGCGGTGGGGGGGCGGAGCGCATGCGCGGTGCGGGGGGCCGAATGTTTCCCAAGTGTTTGAAACTGGTATTTGGGTTCTCCACGTTGGACAAGTGCGGCGCGGCGGGCGGCGCGCGCCCCTTCCCGCGCTCGCTCGGCCCCGGCCCCGGCCCTTGCGCCGGGGTGCGCGCCCGCACGCGCCGCCCGCGCCCGCCCCGCGCCCGAGGCCGCCGAGCGCCGGCCGGGCCCGCCAGGCGCCGGGTCCCCGGGCCCAGGCGGCGCGGCTCGCAGATGTAGCGGCGCGGGGCCGGCCGGAGGGGGGGCGCCGGCGGGCGGGAGCTTTGCATTTTGCAGCGCTGGGCTCCGAGGGGGCGGGGGCTGGAGGAAGCGGAAAGCCGCGCCGAGTCGCCGGGGACCTCGGTGAACCATGTTGAGCCCTGCCAACGGGGAGCAGGTCCACCTGGTGAACTACGTGGAGGACTACCTGGACTCCATCGAGTCTCTGCCTTTCGACCTGCAGAGAAGCGTCTCGCTGATGCGGGAGATCGACGCGAAATACCAAGGTACGGCGGGAGGGATGGGCGGGGGCGGCCGCTCCATCCCCGCCGGTCGCGGCGCGCCGCCGGGCCGCGGGGCCGTCCTGTTCCTCGCCCGGAGGAGCCGCGGGCCCGCGGCGGCGGCCCTGGCCGGGCAGGAACAAAAGGTCTGGAGCGTCTTTGATTCGCCAAGGTCCTTGTGCACGAAGCCCGGACACGGAGGAGGAAGGAGGAACGGGAGGTCTCCATGCCAGGCTGCGCGAGCAAAGCGCTCTTTGTAGTGAAGTGACGAGGCGGGGTGCTGCGGGGGAGGGGGCTCAGGGGGCGCAGGCTAGGGCGCCGAGGGAGGGATGTGCCGCGGTCGCTGGGGCTGAGGGGCGCAGCGACGGGGCTGCGCGCAGGGCTGCTGGGAGGGCGCTGCGGGCGGCGGGTCCCCGGCTCTGCTCGCCATCCCCGGAGCCACCCCCACCCAGTCCCGAATCTGAGTGTTATATAAAGTCCGGGGTCGACACTCCGCGCCGTGCGGCCTGGGTCGCCGCCGCCCCCGCCCGACCCCCCCGGCCTCCCGTGGAGCTGGACAGCGAGTGAGGGGCGGCGCGGCCGGGTGTAGTTCGCCGAGGGCGAGGGCTTTATTCCGTGCGTGCGGCGGGGAAGGGGAGGGCAGGGCAGGGGAAGGAGAATGGGTCGGGGAGTCGCCCATCTGCTGTGCTCTGGGGCTTGGGCAAAGCTTGTCGGCTCGCAGAGGAACATGGCAGGGAAGAGGACCTGTGGGTCGTTCTCTGCAGCCCCGGCTGCCCAGAGTTCCGGAGAGAGGCGGAGGGTTCGTATCCGCTGGGAATTGTTGGCTGTTGGGGAAACTTTCCTGCCAGGCCAGGCACGGCGCAGGGGGCTGTGTACGGGACGCGGATCGTCGCTCGGAGTTTACTAATGTTTACAGGGCTGCGCAGCAGGGAAACGGAAGCGGGGGGAGGTGGGAAGCGGCCGCACGCCCCGAGCGCACGGAGAGACCCCGCGGCATGGCGCCCCTGCGCGCTCTAGCCGAGCCGGGGCTTCGCAGCGACTTTTATAGGGGTCTTATTAGCATATTGCGAACGTCCCGCTGTGGCCTCCTTGTGATTGGTCTCGGCGTCCCCCATGGAATGTCCTTATCAGTCCGCTGCTGAGCTATTGGCTGCTGAGCCGGATGAGGGTGGGCTTTGCGCAGTGACTGGCACGGGTCTCGTTTCCGCTGCCTCCTTGTTTCTCTGGAGGGGCGGGGAGGAGGAGGAGGAGGTCGAGTTGATTTGAATGTCTTTGGGTCGCCCGGCCTCCGGCCTCGGATTGGCCGTTGGCGCTGAAGGGGCGGGACGTGGTCGGTGATCCTGGGCTGTGATTGGCGTCCCGCTTGGCCTCCGCCCTACGGCCCGGCGAGCCCCAGAGGCGGTGGCTCTCGGGGCGGGGCGCGACGCTCGCCGGCCGCCTCTCCATTGGCTGAGGGCCCGGCCCCGCCCCTCTCCTTCAGGGGCCAGAGCCCGGTCACTTCCGGCCGCGGAGCCTTGGCTGCACCCGCGGCCGAAGCGAGCGTGGCGAGCGTTGGTTCCGGAGCTGCGGAGGACGCGGCTCAGGCCGCACGGACCGGCAGGCGGTCCGGCCGATGGCCCGTGGGTGCGGCCGCGCGGAGCGGGGCAAGCCTGAGTGGCCCCGGGCGGGTGCCTGGTGGGGACGAGCGGGCCCCGAGGGCGCCGAGCCGGGCGGCGACTCGGCGGAGCGAAGATGGGAGGACTCGTGTCGCCGGCGCCGCTGGTGAGCGCCCTGGGGAGTGTGTCGGCACCGGCAGCGCCCCGCACGGCTGCTCTAGCGCCCCGCGCGGTGACTGCGTTGCTGCTTCGGGGCCGGCGGCCCCCGCTGCGGAGCTCCCGCTGCGGCGCCGACGGCCGGCCGGGGAGCTGCGGGGACTCTCGCGGGCAGGTGCGCACCCACCGCTTCGGTGCCCGCGACCTGTGCTGGAGGCCGGCCGTGGCCAGCGGCCTTTCCTCAGTGTGCGCCGGTCGGAGATGGCTCGGAAAGACGAGGTCAGTGCACCACGTTAGATGGCACTCAGGTGGAGCTCGCGTGGCCGCGTCCAGTCCCGCCTGCGGTGTTTCAGGCGTTGCTAGGGCGTACCCGCCCCCCACGGCATCGCGTCCTGGCGAGCGTCCGTGCAGCCTTCGTGGACAGGGCGAGTACGTGTCTAGCAGGTGGACGGGTCAGATGAGTTTTGCCGGAGGCTCGTTTCGTGGCGGCCGCGGCTTCCCTGCAGGGACAGTGGTGTGGAGCATTTTCAGAAGAAGGTCGGCGGCCGCGGAGCTGAGGGAGCCGGAGGCGTTCCTGGTGCGCCGGCAGGACACCCGCCTGTTAGACAGGCGGGGCTGGCTCCGCGCGGCGGTGGCTCTGTTGACACTGGACTTCGCGCGGGGCGTCTAAGAGATACATGCCGCTGTGCAGGTAACGGAAGTACTCCTTGGTGACTTCGTGCAGGGACTTCCGTCTCTTCCACATGCGGGGCTTCACGGGGCTGTAAGCCGGCTCGTGCTGTAAAAACCGGTTACTGAATTCGCGGTAACAGCAACTTTTTTTCTGTGAAAGGCTAGCATTGGCTTTACAGATTTGGTTACCAGTTAAACCAAATAATAGCTTTGTAATATGCAATTAACTCAGGAATAAATCGCAGAAACTCCTATTTTAACGTCTATGAAAAACAGAGCTTAGATAAGTTGAGCCTGTTTATTTTCAGAATTAATTACTCCCAGACACGGGGACTATGGCATTCCTCCTTTCTGGGGGTGGTAGATGGTCTACAGTGTTCTCCTAGGAAGTATCTTCAGAGCCGTCTTCAGTTTAAGAATATAGCCTGGAAAATAATACATACATTTAGGTAACCTTCAGTGTTGGTCTGTGTTCATGTGTTTATTCCAGTGTTAGGTTTATGCCTTGTAACTATCTAAAGATAAGATCTGGAAGGGATGAGGGTTACATTTTATACATCCTGCCTCCCACACTTCCTTGCTGGAGAATAGAATTGCCTAATTTTAAGAGACTGCAAATGGTTTCAGGAGAAAAATCTGATACTATTTATTCATTTCTTTTTTTTTAGTAATCTCTACACCAAACTCTTGGCACTCAAACCCAGAACCCCAAGAACAAGAGGTGCATGATTTTCTGTCTGAGGCCGGCAGGCGCCCTGATACTGTTTAGATTTGTTACTCCTTGGGGAAAATAACTCTGGAAATTTCTGTTTATATTTAAGTAGTTTTTTGGCAAGAATATTTATTTTCCTTGTTTCAATCAAGATTATTTAACAACTTTTATATCTTTAGAAATTGCCCAATTATATTCTGCTTTAAAGATTTTATTTATTTATTTGATAGAGAGAGATCACAAGCAGGCAGAGAGACAGAGGTGGGGGAAGCAGGCTCCCCACCAAGCAGAGAGCCCTATCCGGGGCTGGATCCCAGGACCCCGAGATCACCACCTGAGCTGAAGGCAAGAGGCCCAACCCACTGAACCACCCACAGGCCCCCTAATTACACTTTCCAAATTACATTTTTAAATCATACACACTTTTTTGTTTTAAGATTTTATTTTTAACTAATCTCTACACTCAGTGTGGGGCTTGAACTCAAAACCCAAGATCAGGAGTCACATGTTCTACCGACTGAGCCAGTCAGGTGCCCCCCTGTACGAAGTTTAAATTTAGTACTGAGGGTTTTTTAGTTTTGGTTATGTCTTAAAATCTGTTGATTTTTACAGATGTGACTATGTATTGTCCTAACCAGTAAATGCAAGAGCAAAATTTGACCCCTTTGTTTAAAGGCAAAGCTAGCTTATCTGACTTAAGTTGTGATAAACCAGTTTTGTTTTTAGTAATATAGAGGAGCAAGGTGAGACGACAGTGATGTGACTGACAGACGGAGGCCCTGGGTCACTAGGTGCTATTTACACACATTCTCTGATTTCATGCAGTATTCTAGACATTGGTGCATTAAAATAAAAGGAATAAAGTCTTTAAGTTAGAAGAATATTTGAGTAAAAACTGGAAATATAGGACATAAACCACTTAGTTTTATAGAAAGGAAAAGTTTGGGTAGCAGCACTCCACCTAATTTAAACTTCTCCCCTCAGTTGCTGACCCTGACAGTAATGTTACCCATGCTTTTGAGTGCACGGAGTCCCCTGGGGGCTCTGAGGGGCACTTTGCCAAATGGGAACTGTGTTGGTAATTGTGTTTAGTTCCAGGAATTTTTTCCAGTGGGGGCAAATAAGTCGCTTGAAAGGCCTGTACGTTATAGGATCTTCATACTAGGAAATCTTCCATTGATGATTTCTGTCCTTCGCAATGACTTTTTTATAGACTAGAGAATTTAAATAAAAAGCTCTGTAGTGTTTATAGATTGGGCGTAATGCTTATTTTTCCTTTGCAGAAATCCTGAAGGAACTGGATGAGTATTATGAGAAATTCAAACGCGAGACAGACGGCGTCCAGAAAAGGAGAGTGTTGCATTGCATTCAGAGAGCCCTGATTCGGAGCCAGGAGCTGGGCGACGAGAAGATCCAGATCGTGAGTCAGATGGTGGAGCTGGTGGAGAACCGGACCAGGCAGGTGGACAGTCATGTGGAGCTCTTTGAGGCCCATCAGGAGGTCAATGACACCACTGGCCACAGCGGCAAAGCCGGCCAGGATAAGTCCAAGAGTGAGACAATCACGCAGGCGGAGAAGACCAATAATAAGCGGTCTCGGCGACAGCGCAACAACGAGAACCGAGAGAATGCGGCCAATAATCACGACCACGATGACATCACCTCCGGAACGCCTAAGGAGAAGAAAGCAAAAGCCTCCAAGAAGAAGAAACGCTCCAAGGCCAAAGCCGAGCGGGAAGCGTCCCCTGCGGACCTTCCCATTGACCCGAACGAGCCGACGTACTGTCTGTGCAATCAGGTCTCCTATGGAGAAATGATCGGCTGTGACAATGACGAGTGCCCCATTGAATGGTTCCATTTCTCCTGCGTGGGGCTGAATCACAAACCCAAGGGCAAGTGGTACTGTCCCAAGTGTCGAGGAGAGAACGAGAAGACCATGGACAAGGCCCTGGAGAAATCCAAAAAGGAGCGGGCGCACAGCAGGTAGTAGGCGGAGCCCGCGCAGCGGCGAGGACAGCGGCCGGCCGGTGTATTTATTACGTCGCCACCTGTGCTGAGGCGCAAGGACTGTACATTGTATATTTTTCAAGAATGTTAGAAAAGGAGCCATTCCTTTTGCAGGGATGGCGGTGATTCTCTGCCTTTTGTTTTCATTGGTACACACGTGTAACAAGAAAGTGGTCTGTGGATCAACATTTTAGAAACTACAAATATAGGTTTGAATTAAACACTCAAGTGAGTCTCAGACTGATTTGTTTTGCTTTTGTTTTTGTTCTGCTGGGGCGGGGGTGACTTGGAAGGTATGTGACGCGTTTCCTGCAGAAAGAGTTTCATTTAGCATCATTAGCATTCTTTTAATAAAAATAATGGTATTGCTTCATGAGCACGTCTTTAAATATTAGCCAGATTGCCAGAGTCATAGCCTATAGCACATGTGTTTCTTGCCACGATCACGTATAGCCATATAACAATCCCACATAAAGGTTTAAAGTTTGCAGGTTAGCTTTTTAGACAGGTGAATGCTAAAGTTTTACGTGACAAACATTTTCTATTACTGGCCTGTTCCACAAATGGCCTTTTTTAAATGACTGGGGACAGTTTTAATTAAACTGCATGGAGGTGGTTTAGTCGTGGAACTTCAGAGCACGCCCTTTTGCTGTCACACATCTCCATGTGGCTCCATGCTTCATTCACTGAAGGCGTGTAAATGTACTTTCCAAGTGAACTTACCCTTGCTGCTTTGTAACCAGAAACCTCTGTAGAACCGAGGTGTGTTTTCGACTGTGCACAAGAGCTGTGCAGGTATGAGGTCCAGAAAGAAGTGAGGTTTGACCTCTTTGCTCCTCTTGCAGTAGATTTAATTGGGGTGCAAGTAATTTAAAAATTTTTTCTTTTAAAAACCTATATACCAGCAGTTTAGACAAAGCCTTAAAGCACATTTCTTTTTATTGTTCTTAATAATGAAATAGAAGTACCTAATTGCCAGCAAATAGATGTCAGAAGTATATATTTAGAACAGGGGTTAGGGAATTACCACAAGCCGCATCAGCCTACCACCTGTTCTCACAAGGCCTGTGAGCCAAGAATGTGCTTTACATTATTAAGTATTTTATTTTTCTTTCTTTCTTTCGTTGAGAGTGAGTGTGAGCAGGGGAGGGGCAGAGGGAGAGGGGGAGAGAGAATCTTTTTTTTTTTTTTTTTTTAAGATTTTATTTATTTGTCAGAGTGCGTGCACGAGCAGGAGCAGGCAGAGGCGGAGAGAGAAGCAGGCCCCCTGCTGAGCAAGGAGCCGGACACAGGACTCGATCCCAGGACCCTGGAATCCGGACCTGAGCCAAAGGCTGTGGCTTAACCGACCGAGCCACCCAGGTGTCTCTGGGAAGAGAGAATCTTAAGCAGACTTCACATCCAGCCTGGAGCCCCACACAGGGCTGGATCCCACGACCAGAGGTCATGACCTGAGCCGAAATCCAGAACTGGGTGCCGAACCAACTGAGCCACCCAGGTGCCCCTGTTAAATGCTTTAAAAAAAAAAAAAAAAAGAAGAAGAACCCTGCGAAATAACACGCGAACGTTGTAATAACATGCAGATTTTAGTGTCCGTCAATCAGGTGTCACTGGCCCGCAGTCCCCCATGTTCATTCGCTCAAGCGTTGCGGCTGCTTTTACGATGGCTCAGTCGTTCGCATCGGAGCTCAAACCCCCCCAGAGCTGGAATCCCTTATTTTCCGGCCCCGCGCACAGAGGCTTGCTGACCTCTGGTGTAGACCAACTTCCTTTCTAAGCAATAGTCTGGTTCCCGTTTCGAAGCCGTACACGTTGGAGAGATTTTGTTTCCTCCCATAGTCTTGTGTCGGTTCCGTGAGGCCGCCGCGAAGAAGCGCTGGGGTCACTGGCATCTGAAGTCCCATGTGGCCCTATTTACCATGAGACACTGTGTTGTTTTTGGATTGTTTACTTTATTTGACAAACATTGAGAACTTCATTTGTGCTCGACAGAAATCCCTCAGTGTTTTACAGTGGATTTCCATTATAGAGAACTCCCTGGTAGAGAAATGCAAATTGTAGTTGTGTATGCACTAAAATGTGAACTTTTTGCATATCAGGACCTATGAACAGGCATTTACTTTCCAGCAAAACTTCAAAAAAATTTAAGAATCTTTTTGGCCTCTGCCTTCGTCTCAGGTCATGATCTCAGGGTCCTGGGATCGAGCCCCACCTCAGGCTCTCTGCTCAGCGGGGAGCCTGCTTCTTCCTCTCCCACTCCCTCTGTTGTGTTCCCTCTCTTGCTGTGTTTCTCTCTGTCAAATAAATAAATAAAATCTTAAAAAAGAATCTTCTTGAAGGTTAAAATTTAAGATTTACCTAGACAAATAATAAAAGTTTTTCTCAATGAAAACAGGTACTAGAATACTTGATGACAGTCCAACGCAATAAAAGTGACTTAAGAGAATCTTTGCTTATATAAAATTCCATATGCTAGTTTCTACTCCTGTTTTAAGTAGAGCTAATAATGAGAATTAAGTTACAGGAGTGAAGATTGACTAGCTAATATGGATTTCATATTTAACAGTTCTGGTGTCTGTAAGGGTAGAGAGACAGGCATGGAGGTTCATCTTGGCTGGGTTTGAACCCATCTTTGTCCCTTAGGGGCTTGTGCTTGAAGAAATAGCTTAACTCATGGGGCACCTGGGTGGCTCAGTGGGTTCTGTCTTCGGTTCAGGCCATGATCCCAGGGTCCTAGGATCGAGCCCCTCATCGGGCTCTCTGCTCAGCAGGGAGCCTGCTTCCCCGCCCCCCTCTGCCCGCCTCTCTGCCTACTTGTGATCTCTCTCTCTCTCTGTGTCAAATAAATAAATAAATAATCTTAAAAAAATAGCTTAACTCTTGATCTGTGGCTCACTTTTAAAATAATCGGTTTTATAAACGGTGCTTCCGAGAGAGAAATCAGGGTAAATGAAGAGCGGCCTGGCACGCAGTCACTCAGATGCTGGATACTTGCTCCCACCATTGAGGAAGTTTCCAATAAGGGCAAATGGCGAAGTGTTCTTTGTTCTAAACACGTGAAACATAGAGGCAGATTTTGTTGGATTTGGTGGTCTTTAAGTCTCTTTCAGTATTTCCATCGAAGAGTAAAATCACGCGTGAGTACTCGCAACGTCAAGGTTTAGGCTCGAGATCATGATTGTCTGAGGAGCCGGAGGAGGCAGGTGGCCCTGGGGAGCCGCGCCGCGGACTGGAGTGTGGGCGTAGCCGGCGCCAGGCCCGCTCTTGTGGAACTGCTGCTTCTCCGCGTTTGTTTATGAAAGAATTTTTAATTGAGGTACGATGGACATGGAACGTTTTGGTTTCAGATGTACAGCATAATGCCTGGATGTCTGTGTGCACTGTGAGACGCTCGCGGGAGTCTAGTTAACATCTGTCCCCATGGTTACAGGAGCCGTCGCTGTGGTCCGACTTGGAAGATTGACTCTCCCAGCAGGGGTCAGATCTGCCGCGCAGCGCCACCTGCCGCAGGTCGCCTCCCCACGCTGACTTGCCAGCCGGAGGTCCATAGCCTTCCGCCCCGTCACCCGGTCCCATCCGGCTCTGGCACCCGCCGCTGGCTCTTTGTACCGAATCCCCGAGTTATGATAGTTCAGAGAAAGTCTGGAATGTCTCCATGAGAATGAATTTTAACCTGGACCTGGAAACGTGGCTCCTTCGGGAAACCAGCGCACGGCCCTGGCATGGCGTTCCCGGGGCAGACGGTGCCGTCCCCCCGTCCCCAGCAGGACACTGCGGCCACCCCCGCAGACGTGCCTTCCAGTGACTCGGACACGGCAGTGTGGCCCTCTTGGTCCCCGAGACTATCACAGGGGGCAGGTGCTGAAGTGAGAAAGCTTTCGCCGAAATCAAAGCCGACTTGCCACCACCCGCTCATTTTACAAAGCACAGACCTGTCCTTGAAGTGTCCCGTGTGTCCTGTTCGTACGGTGTTCCAGGGAACGTGCACTCAGGCAGATCAGCTCTCCACGGGCGGAGTTGCTAGCTTTGGGGCAGGCGTGTTTAAAGACGGAACAAGCTTCTGCGGATCAGCCTCGGCCCTTTGTCCCGTCCAGAGAAACGTGTGATTCTCGGCGATCCCTGGGGGGCAGGCCGAGCTCCCCCGCGCTGTTCCCGCGTCGGACGGTCCCGCTCTGCTCCCGGGGCCCCGCCGCTGTTGAGCAGCCCGGGAGGCAGCCTTGTGGGTTTGCTGAGTCCGTCCCCGGGCGTCCAGAGGGGGAGGAAGGTCACGGCCGGAGGGAGGCCTGTCGTAGACCCAACACCCTCTTTCAGTTGTCGTGGGGGCGTGTTTCGGCAGATCTGTTCCGTTGTTCTCCTCGCCCAGCAGACACTAGCGCGGTGCCCCCTCCTGCCCAAAGGGGGGCAACGAATGCGCGGGTGTAGCGGGGAAGAAGGCAGGCACCGGCCGCTTCTCTTGCCTCCGGTCCTCGGCCTTCCCCAGGTTTGTGGGCAAATGCTGCCGCTCGCTCGGCTTCCAGAGAGACCCAGCGCCTGGAGGCCCAGCGCGGGGGGGGGGGGCTGCTTGAGTCCTGCCCCCGCCCCCGCGCCCCCTGCCTCGCCGACCGGAGCTTTCCTGTTAAACAGGAAAATGCTTGGGCTTCAGTCAACTCTAAATAAAACTCTCCAGCTGACGTAGAGCTGCTGCTCGTGGCCCGCGCCTGCTTGCGTCCTTGGCATACCTGGTGGTAAATGTCCCCACGGCCCTGCCTGGGGACACGCTCCTGCCCCCGGAGAGGCGCCCAGACCCAGGTGCGGGGCCCTGAGTCACACGAGGCCACCGTCCCCCACTTGGCCGTGAGACCCATCTTCTGGCATCCCCAGGCTGGGCCAGCGGACGTGCTTGGCTCAGGACACCGCGCTGTTGGCCCTGCGAACTGGCACCGGGAGTGCAGCAACGTGTCCACACCGGTCTCGCCTCTGTCCTCACTGCCCCGTGTGGTAGGGAGTTACCCTGGATCCGTGACTCCGAACCTCACCGGGCTGGGGGTGGAGTGGGGCTGGGGCCTTCCCGGCCGAGCCTGTCCTGGGACCCAAAGGCCCAGGCGGCCGAGCACAGCACGGTCCCTCCTGTTGGTGGACCAGCGCGGCGGCCTAGGCGCTCCTCCTCGTGCGGGGCAGTAGGTTTCGGATGGTCTCTAACCGCTGCGACTTTAGCCACGTGTCAGGCGTGGAGTATCTGCCGTCCCAGAAGCTGCACGAGC